GAGTTTGATGTATTTCTTGGAAACTATTCACGAATATTGTTTATTTTTCCTTTTCCATTGCTTTTCATTTGTTTTTAAACTATTTTTCACTTCAATCTATATCTTATATTCTTCTTTATCATATCTTCTTCTTTTTGTTTTTACTTTTTCTTTTCTTTTGCAATTTTATATGTTTTTGCTCTAACTTTTTCTTTTTCTGTGCAATCAATCTGCTTTAATTCATCAAAATAATGCCTTACAGAAGATTAAACTTATGTCATCGTACTGACAGAATGGAAGCAACACGACGTATCAAACTGTGGAAGAATGGGCATCAGGAAAGAGACAAAGAATGGCTCGCATAGGTGCTGAGAAAACAGAAGAGTGACGTGCAACCAAACTTGAGAATGCACGATTGAGAACATGACGATTGCATTCTGCAGTTTCAGATCTGTTTCGTTCTTAATAGAATAAACGCGATAGGCTGAGTGCTTGCCTGAAATACTCTACTTTGTGGCAGTACGTAGAGATGTTAAAATTAACTACAAATGTGTTTATCCAGCTGCAAAACGATCAATCAGCTGAGATGTTCTCATATCAATTGCTGGAAATTGTGAACAGAAAGCTGCAGGTTGATCTGACCTCAGGACGAATTTCACTGTCTCATAATTTTTTTTCTGCTATTTAGTGAGGTCAGAAGAAGAATTGGTTGAAAGAGCATTTCCCAATATTCAGATCAATTATAAAAATCACGATTGGCTGAATGAATCCAATACAAAAATTAATGAACAACGTCACAGTCTTGATAGGACTTTTAAAAGGTGAAGATGTACTCATTCCTTGCATTCCTATGATTTGGCAACGGATATGCCATTTCAATTTAAAAGATTGCAATTCCCAATTCGATTGGCGATTTGCAACCACACCATCAACAGAGCTCAGAGGTAATCTTTAGAATTTTACAATTTAGATCTAAACACGGATTACTTCTCACATGAACAGGGTCAGCAAACCAGACAATCTCTATATCTGTACAAATAATCCACAAGCACTGTGATATTAAACATATTTCTCTTTCTCTTCATTTAACAACAATTCTTTTCCATTTAACAAACTATTTTGTTTTATTTGCTACTTTAACATTGCTATGGTAACACAACACATAGCCGAGTACAACTACTTTACTATAAAAATGATCCATAAGCGAATTATGTGTTTTAGAATCGATCAACTTATGAAAACATTTCAATTTCCCCGTTGGCAAAAAATTACTGATAGTTACAAGCAATCAATTACTAGTATTGAAATGCATAAAAAAGTAGAGAATATAACTAATCAATTGGAGGTCGTTAAAGTCTCTCAAGTTTTAATCCGCACAGAGATGTTAATAGCACTGTTATTAAATTCAACTCTTTTGAGCAACATCTATACACAGCAATCATTATTCAGTTCTCTGCCTCCAAATTTTCTCCTAATCTACCACTTATTACTGGTTCTATACCATCTCTCAGCATCTTTATTTCTTATTGATGTCGTCTTCCTCTTTAATCTTTTCACAAGGTTTTATTTCAGAGGTATCAGAGAAGTTCACGTAAGTCTACTGTTTTTACTTTTCATTGCTAATTGTCGCTGAAATCATGAAGAAGCAGTAGTGAATCAATAACTTCTTTCTTGTTAATTTGATACCGCTGAATGTAATATGTTGCATGTGAGGATATATTGGGTAATGTAAGCTAAAATTGTACGCCCATTGTGTTTGTGTGCTCTAATAAAAGCGATAACTTTCGTGACCTCAAAACTGACCTCTTGACCCCAGGATCCTCCCTAATCCGAGGAAGAATAGCATCCTAAGCACCAAAATTATTTCTAAGCATGTGTTTCGACGAAGTCAGTTGGATAGATGATATGGAGCCTCACTGGGTTTCCCTTTTATGTTGCTGTCGTCACTACTAATTCTCATATTAAAGTCGTAAATGCTGAGTTCGCTGTTGTATTAACCAAATTTGTCATAATAAAGGTTTAATTATCTAAGTCTGAGGTCCATTACCCAAATTCTTTGAGGTTCATTACCTCAAAGAAAGTCAAAGAAATCGGCAAGAAGAAATAGAACAAAGACTCAGAATTAATTCTCTCAATCTCTGTCACAATCACAAATAAATCGTCGACAAAACTGATGATAATTCTTGCATGCTACAATATATATCGTTATAAGATACCCAATCATTCGACAACTGCAAAATAAATTTGAATTGACACATTCATGAGTTGGTACTACAAAAAACTGAACATTAACTATTATAAAATGCATAAAACTGAACGATAAATTGAAAAAGACAAAAAGATCACATTACACGTAAAGTTAATGGTAAATGATATGAAAAGGGAATTAGAATCAACAACATGTCATCGAATCTTATATCGCATCTCCTTTTAAAAACGATGATAAGCAGGATTATTAGGAAAGAAAGAAAAACAGTGGAAAAAAAAAGATAAAAGAGTATACAGAATCCATCAAATGATCAATACCACTCAATACAAAAGATGCTTGAAACAAATTTTCATACACTTTCAAACATGATTTTCACATGCGTTTAGTTTCAGATTGCAATACGTTGCATTTGTTCCCGAAAAATTATCATTACCGTGCTATGTGAAAATGTGTTGAGATTAAGTAAAAAAAGAAAAAAGGAAAGAATAGAATTTGCATAAATCACGGAGACAACAGGAAAAGAAATAAAATAATTAGCTGCACTTTAATAAATGGTACTTTTGCAACTTCATCTCTTCATGTTTATTATATACTTACGTGTATTCATTATACATACATATAGAATAAATGCATTTACAAAAGCACTGTTTTTAACAAAGGAAATGTTTGCCGATATTTAATGATAATTAACAACGGAAATGTTTATCGAGAATCATGTAGAGAAATGACAAGAAGTACTGAGTACACGGATGGTCAGTCACGTTTGTCCAACGTGACTCACGTGGGAAACACCCGATATCTAAACCTTGCAACGATCCACACCCACTTTGACATTCCCGTATTAACCTGACTCGTCAATCCCTCCATTGTGATTGTCAATGTCGCGAAATGTCCAAAAAGAATAATCATAGATTGAGACAGGGAGGTAAGAAGGTGAGAGAGTCATATGTTAAAGCTAGAGAATCAGATTAAAAAGATACGTAGATAGTGCGAGAATGCAAGTAGACAATTTGTGGCTATTTGCGCCAAAGTTTGTATTTGAATGCATTCGCAACAGTTTGTTGGCAAGGTGTCCGTGCGTACACGCAGAGTTGATGAGACACAAGAGGTGAGCAGACGTGTACAGACGTGTACTTTCTAATAATGCCCCAATTTCAGGCTCGCTGACAAACGTATTACCGGCATTGATTAGGCATGGCTGTTGAAGATGACGTGAAGAGATTACTTGCAAATTCACGGTCAGTTCTTCCCATTATTAATTCTTTCGTCAGTTTACAACATTTCAATCATTCAAATCTAAAGAATTAAAAGCTGTTTTATAAGGACCGCTCCTTTACAATATTTTTTATTTTAAATCTCAAATTGTTGTGTTAAATGGTTCCATTATTCATAGTTATTTGGACAAATGATTTTCTGATAAATTACATCCCGAAAAACCATACGGATCTTTTGTTAGTTTTGTTTTATGCTCTATTGTTTACCGTCGTAACAATTTTGTGGGATCTGTGACGGATTAAATTAATGGTTTGACAATCCTTTTTTTCCCTCAGTTTTACTGTTGGGAACTTTGCATCCAAACTATTTTTTCTATTAATAATAAATTTGAGCAGATTGAAATAAGTGGCCAAAGGTTGGCAATACAACTTTTTCCGTAGAGATTGATATCCTCAAGTTTTTAGAATTAATTTTTGCCACATCGACCGATTAAACATATGCAAATTTGACGCGGATATCCTATCGAAAGTCAATAACTTTTTTCTTTGGCTTGAGGAGCAAAGGGATGTTGGGAAGGAAATTATACGGAATGAGTAAGTTCGATTTCGGAATTCATAGTAGTTCACTTGATGGGAATATGTGTCAAATCAAACTTTGATTTCGATTAGATATTCTTTTTTTCGTCTGTTTTCAAGATATATCAGGGTTGTTGCTGAAGGGATCTTCAGGTGATGGTAATTCATTAAGTCGCTAAACTTTATCAGACATGAATTTCTTTAAAGAGGTTCGTGTTATTGGTATCAAAGCGTTATCATCCTCACTTGATATTTCCTTCCTTATTGTACAAATTTCCAAGTCTGTGGCTAAAATTAATCTGTGAAATTACAGAACTTTAACACATAAGAATCGGTGGTTCTATATTAGTAGCAATCTTTCTGTTCTTAATAATTCATAGTTCCATCCACAAACGACGTTTACTATTTTCAAAGTTGTAGAACGGGTCGCATGCGCTTACCAACCACGCCTAAACGAGGATACTGTTTTTCACAGGAAGCGGAAATCTTCCAGAAGTGCAGAAAAAAGCTGTTGGACAGTGTCACACGAAAAACAACAGCTGCTTTTACAAACGATGGGTATGTTATAAGGGATTATAAAAATGAGCTTGGCTTCCGTTTAGTTGGCGCTGTTGTAAACGTCTTTCTCATAATCATTATGGAATGGATCCCCAGTAATTATCCTTACTACTGTTGCTTACTCTGGGTGTTTTCAGTTGGAAGTACAACAGTTTTATCTCAGGCTATTTCGATGTTTCTAACAGTAGATGGAGTCGTAAAAAGTTCCCAGAATGTCTTTATTATACTTCTGTTTTCAGAAATACTGCGATTTATGCTGCAATAACTCCGAAATCTTCGAAAAACGCCATTGCAGTATGTATTTCCAGTAACGTTATTGGACTTTATTTTTATTCATCCCCCTTAGTTTCCATAACTTTATCTTTTGCAGAGAGCTGTAAAACAAGAGACAATGTTAGCAGGCCTAATGAATAACCGAAAAATACAAATAGGGCCTGCACCCACTCCGAGGCAATATGTTCCAAAACAAACATCTATTAAGGTTGCTTTCGTGTGCTTGATTAGATATAATTATGCAATTGCACTCTGCTTTCCCCGATGAAGTACGTGTTTTACAGGTGAATAAGTGTCCTTCAGTTACAACTTCTAGGAACAACACACCGAAACGGTAAGGAGTTCGTTTTTCCATCTGGCTTATTATTTGCTTCGATGAATTTATTTTTTATGAGGAAATGAATATTTTCCAGGATGCCACTTAAAAATGGAATGACTCCGAAGACGACCACACAGAAAATTGTCGCTAACCCGGAAACCATTGCGCGAAAAACTACAGTAACTCCGAAGGCGATTGTTGAGAAAACTGTTGTCACTCCGAGAATGGCTGACAAAAAGATTGTGGTTACTCCAAAGGCGACTGTCCAGCAGGTCAGTTTCACTTTTATGCATCTTAAGTTAATTTGGTTTCAGTTTTAATATATTTAATTCGTAGCAGTGGATTGACGTACAAAGATAAGACCGTGATCCGCAATAGATCGAAATCATCTCATTGATAGGCCGAGAGACAATTGTGTTTAGAATGTCATGAAAGATAATGGATTCAAAAATTTCCCATGCAAAAGTTTTCCTTACAGCCAACGTTCAAGAGGTCTGAAGTAATACGTAAAATGGAAAAAAGAACAAATACAGTAATCAAAAATAAAGAAGAACTGATGAAAGAAAAGGCAGAACGTGCGAGGAGGTCGTTTATTAATTTGGTTTTATAGAAATGCCATCTTGTGGATTATAAATTTTAGCTGTGCAAATTCTGAAATGTTCCGTCCACAATGATGAGTTTGGCATTCAATAGAGAAGTCATAAGGAGATGAATCATGTGAAATTCTAAGAAGCATCGAACAAACTCTTTTTTTAAATGCCAACTGAAATTCAGGGATCGCGAGGAACGGGCACTGCGCGTGAAAATGAACAATAAGAAAAAAGAAGAAGAGGCGCTCGAGAAGCTTCGGATAATAAAAATGCGCGAACAACAAATCGAACATTTGAGACAAAAACAGCGCATGCCACAGAGAGCCATTTCAAAATCACCCTGTCGTACCAGGTTCTGTTAATATTATAGTGATTAACAATGATTCGGTGATTACTTCAGAGTTTAAGTGATAATAGAAGAGCTTAGCTGAGCTGGTGAAAGAATATAGGTTGCCGAAGAAAAATTGTTTTTTAAAGTCCAAGAAACATGTCACATGAGAATTAAATGATGGTAATGAAAGAGAAATAAGTATTGTAGAGGTTATTACAATCGAATACAAAAACCGCTCGTTCGTTCGAAATCTTCACAAGACATTTCTGTGCCAAGGAACGTATTACAAAGAGAGGTAACAAAGAATGAACAGGTTTGTTTCATGTCAACAAAAGATGATTGTTCTAATTTTAGAAATTTTGTTAAAATTTCCAGATGACATTTCAGGAAAACCTCCAATTTCAAGGAAAACGGAACCACGTCGGTAATGTCAAACGGGATACCGATATACAAAATAAAAGACAAAAGCTAGATTTAGTGGAGTCCAATGAAAGAGATGATACTAATAGGCTTTCCAGCGAGATCAACACGCCAGAAAAAGTGCTGAGTGAAGAGCTTGTCGGTGGTCAAACTCATACTGAATGTCCTGAAAGTGAGGGTAAGAGAAATTCTGGAGGGAGAGAAACTTCACGAAGCAATACACAAGTGGCTAGTGAATCAAAAGAAACTCTTGCAGTAATCGAACAAGAAATGTTGGGATCTATGCGGAATTGTGATATTAATCCTGACATTGTGATGCCTTCACCTGTGGCTGAGAGATCGGAGATAAATGATAAGGAAAATGTAGGTGAAGCTTCACAGGTCATGGAAGTTGACATTTCCACTGTCGAGACAAGCAGTATAAATAATCAAACTTTTGATAAAAGGTTACTCTTGCTTAGGTTTAAGCTATATATGCTATATATTAAGCTATATATGTATTATAAAAGATATTTAGATACTTTCCTTAGATCTGAAATCTTTTGAAGCTCTGAAAAGTAGTTGGTACACATTTTTCACTACACAGAATCTTGTGCATTTCTAAAGAATTATTGTTAGTCTTTTTAGCGCGAATGTATCGAAAATCGAAACATTAGATGATATTGGTAATAACTATGATGTAGACAGCATTTCGTCGAATGATGAAACAGATGATGAAGAAAATCCACGAAAACCGATTCCTTTTTGGGCGCGAGGTTAGTGTTGATTTCTATTCCTGAAATGTGACGTAACCACTTAGCGTACTAAAATATCAAAATATTTACAGAATGGAAGAAATGAAAATAATCGAGAAAATATGGTTTTATTAAATAATTACATGCTTTTCATTCCAGGGGAACGATTACAAAATGCGTTACGGAAACAAATTGTGCAACCATCCATCGATCCTGATGCTTATTTTGGACCAGTAAGAACGCCTATGCTGGATAAAATTTTTGCAAGGAATCGCACACGTTATAATAAGCGAACATCGTCAGCCCAGTGGACATCACCAATGAGTAACCCGAAGAAAGGAACGAGTAAATTCTTCGAACTACAGAACAATCATGGTAGGAAAGCATAATGTCATGATGAATTGTTGAAGTTAAGTTAATTTCTACGAGATTGTCAATTTGTTTTGAAGACCTTCTAAATTTCCCAGCAAATGCAGTCATGGTTGTCACTTTGCATTTGTTGTTCATTTTGAGCTTTTTTTGCCTGTAATTTTTTTTCGTGCCACATATGGCTATAGCTATAACTTTGAAAAGGAATAGTATTGTGCATAATACTTCCACAATAAAGACACCTGTTTATTTATACCAAAATATATGGAGACAGCTGGTGGCGTAACTTGATGATACAATAAGCCCTTCATTTTTTACTCTAAAATTTGTTTTTGTATGGAATTTTCCTTATTGTAGGAAAAAGGTAGCAATAATTTCCCTCTTTGATAATGATACAGTAAGCGTTGCTATTTAATTGTATCATTCGTCGAATGGCTTGTCCCATTTTTCCGCATGTCCATATATTTCTTTTTACATTTACGATAAAATTATGCAAAATACAGCTCTGAAATACAGGCCACTCAATGAGCTATAGGTGTTCTAAATGAACACCTCTTCTGTCTGCTAGGCAAGTTGTACAAGTAAGGTTACCAGTGTGACATTATCATTTGATTGTTGTGTAATGCGCCGAACACAGCGATGTATGAGATTTTTGGAAAATGTTAACCTACGAATAATTCAACCTCTTACTAAGGACCTTCAATTATCCCTGACCAACACAGGTAATATCTTTTTGGTTTAATTGACGCTGTGGGGATATACCTACTGTTTAGCTGCATTTTGTGAAGAAGGACAATTCCTTCTAGGGGATTTGTATAATTAATAATAATAAAGGGGTCAAACTGGAGGTACACAACTGCAGCTACTGATAGTTTTTTTTTGATCACACCCAGAAGACTGCGTGGTTATAAGGCATAGCATAAAGCTACCAGATAATTAGATATATCTCAGGCTCACAAGACTCTAGAATAAAGAGTATAAGTTTGTGGGATAAAAAACATAGTTTACAGCAAACGAAGCAATTTTTCTCTTTTTTTCAAGAACTCTGAAACCACAGGGTTTAGGATAAGTAACACAAAGCTCGAAGACGTGAGTATATTGGGTCCGAGTATCACCTCTTCACAATCAGACCAATACTTGTCATTTCGGATGTAAATCATCGCAGTAACACAAGTATAACATATTACTTCATAATACCGAATCCCGCCTCTCTCCGGTCTATTCATCGGAAATAGCACGACACACTGCTCCCTTTTCGGCCAATGTTCTCTTTCGACTGGTCCGCCTGTTCTGCTTATCGTTGGTCCAGTCTTTCTGATATTCCATTCGACTGCTTTTCTCTTAATGTAGTTGTGCTGATATCATGACTACTAGTTATAGTGATTTTACGACAGCTCCGGTAATAATTACAATAACTATAGTAGTATTATGATTACTGTGATAATATTTATGGATTTCTTTTTTGAATTCGATGGCAGTATTGATTTTAACAATCGGAATTTTAATTTGAATAGCGAAATGAAGTCAGTTGTTCAGATTTCTTCCTAAATGATCTGCCATGCAATAGAATGACTACCCATTCATCAGCAACAAAGGATCAAAGAGAAGATTCAAAATTATTGGATTATTTGAAGAAATTCAGAAAAGAATGGTTCCAATATTGTTGTGCAGCAGTATTTACCATAAAATTTCTCTTAGTACCATGCTATCATAGCACCGATTTCGAGGTCAGTGATTTGAAAGTGGATAGAAAAAAATTACCAATTTATTCTGTATAACTTCCATTTCTTCCACAAAATATATTTCTAAAAAAAGAAATTTGAAATTTAAATTAACAGTTAAATTAAGGCTTTCTTTTTATGTAGGTTCATCGTAACTGGATGGCTATTACACATACGCTTCCCATTTGTTCGTGGTATTACGAAAACACATCGCAATGGACGCTCGATTATCCCCCACTTTTCTCCTTTTTTGAATATTTTTTAAGTCAGGTTAATGAAGTGGTCGTTTGTAATTTGAGAACTCTTTGTATTTTTCTACAGCGTATTTTCCAACAACAATTTGAAATCAATAAGACCTCAGTGCTTTATTAGGGCTGTATATCTTTCGAATATAAGTGAACAATCTTCAGGTGGCATCAAAAATCATTCCTTCTGCATTGGTGCTGCAAAAAGACGCATACTTTTCCACTGAATTACTGTATTTCCAGAGATTTTCGGTGATTATAACGGATGTTTTTTATGTAAGTGTTACGTAACTTTTCACATAAGTTTACGTCTCACTTTGTACGAAAATAACGAGCAATGTAGTATTCATAATGCTTTTGTCCAAATTTTGTTTTAATTCGAAATTCCAGGTCCTATCATGTGTTTTTTTAACAAAAAGTTTCTCTGGATTCTACATAACTTATCGCGGTGTGGAGAAAAATTCGTTCGCTGCCGACATTTTTCTCATAGCCAATGTTTCATTGGTGATGATCGATAACATACATTTTCAATATAATGGCTTTCTGACATCACTTTTTTTGCTTTCTCTCGGTTGGGTTATGAGAAAGTCTTTTCTCTATGTAAGTGCCATGTATTATTTGATTATTTCAGATATTCCACTTAATTATGCATTTCGAAAGTCAAAGAATTGTTTACAAAAACCCGTGATAAATTGTGATTTCTTGATAATCTCATATTGGCTGAACTTTTTTTGATGCTGCCTCTTCGGCTGAGTTTTCTGCCATCGTCATAGGTGCAGCAAATTTTTCTAGCGCCTTAAATTTTTTAACATGGCATGCAGAAATGTTAATTTAATACCATAGCCTTGAGTTGCGCATGTCTTATGTTTCAAAAATTAATAACTGCGCTTTAAAGGTATCCTATGTTTTGATGAATAATATTGGCGTCAGGTCAGTAATAATCAAGTATTCCTGAAGGTTTTTATAAACTGTAATGTTTTGTAATCCACTTTTAGGGTGCGTTGACCTACTGCATGCTATTAAATATGAAACATATTTATCTATACTATGCACCTGCATATGCGGTGTACTATGTTATGAATTATTTGTTTTCCTCAGGAAAGGCTTTTATAGCTAACGGTGCAAAATTAGCTGCTATTCTTATGCTTCCATTTGCACTATCTTTTGGTAAAGTAAATTGTTTCTTATCTTTTTCATACATACAACAAAAATATTTAAGCTTCAATTTATACAGTTTTAATGACTTTGAAGTAGAAATGATTAAGTATGCAGTGAGTCGTAGCTTGGTTGTCCATTTTTTTTTTGGCGTTTTTAAGAATAATATGTCTTCTCTGGCTTATTTTTCTGAATATATCTCAGGCTTTATTCGAGTATAGATTTAATGCGACCGTTCATTTTAGCTCCGTTTATTCATTTATGTGGTCCTGGTATTTTGCAGCAGATATGGAAACAGTTGTTTCCATTTGAGCGTGGTTTAACACACGCTTACTGGGCCCCGAATTTATGGGCACTTTACAATTTTTCTGACTGGTATTTTTATCAAATCCTGAAATTGACTGGGCGATTGCCGCCAAATGTTCACTCGCCTGCTTATGTTTCAGGCCTTGTACAAGTATCTTTGCACTTGTTCGCTGTACAGTTCTGTTTTCGTTTTTATGAGTTTATAAGTTATGGTGATTGAGCATTTTGAGTGGTCTTCGTAAACTTTATTTTTTAGTCGTTTTAGTTGGAATTGGACTAAATTGTTTCAGGAATTCAAGCATTCCATCTTACCTTCTGTATCACCATTCGGAACATTGCTAGTGACGTTAACATTGCTCTTACCGTTAGTATCTCTTATCCGGACGCGGCACTCAAAGAATTTTCCCCTTTTACTCACATTATCGGCATTTGCTTTCTTCCTTGCTGGATATCATGTGCACGAAAAAGCAATCATACTCATCACTATTCCATATACTATTCTAGCTTCTTCAGTATGTTGCAGTTAACAGTGTTTTCCATAGAAAGTTATATTCACTTTTGTAACATTCGTAAACTAATATAAAAAAGCAATTTTTGCTGTCGCACTTCAATTGTTCATTAATTTGTTACAGTTTATCATTTTTATTGTCAAATATCAATTCTATTGAAATATTCAATGCAATGTTTTCTTTTTAAATTAGGCTCACGATGCCAACGTACAAAAACTAGTTATGTAGTTTACTTGTTGGTTAGGAGGAACGTTATCGTAAAGATTTGAAAACTTTAATATTTCAGGACCATCGATTTCTGCCGTCTTTTATTGTGCTTTCAGTTGTGGCCAATGTTTCACTTTTTCCTCTTTTCTTTACACCTTTCGAGAATATTTTGAAGGTGTGTCCTTCCGTATTATTAAAAAACGGTTTCTTCCGATGAAGAATTGATGGTTTGAAAGGCTGTGAGCTTTACACCAAAGTATAAGAAAGATTTTTATAGCTGTAGTAATGAGTAAAACGATGAACAGAGATCTGCGCATGTTTAATTTCGATATTGTTTATATGGTTGAAATCAGTCGACAGTTCTATGATATTACGACTTTTTTGGTGCCTTTAATTGTTCTCACATAAAAGTGTTCATTTTGATAATGTGTATTTTAGGTTTCTGTTACACTTTGCTATCTGTTTTTATCAGTAAGCATTATGCGGTTTTTGTGTCCAAAAAGATCGCTTCGTTTTCTCCAGAAACTTTATTTGTTTGGGCTCTTAATTGTTCAGGTTTATTGCTTAGTTTTGCATCAGGTTGGTAATTTTCATTACAATGAGGATAGCCTCATTGTCGAAATAATCAGAAGATTTAAATGCAGTTAGATGCATTGCATCACTAAGCTGAGTCAACCGGATTTTTCTCTCCTTTCATACCCTGGGCCTTTGCATTTTTAATCATATTTCATTTTTTGATTCGAGTCTTCCAAACGGTGGAAGAAACTTTGATTTTTCAGCTCATAAGCTCTTAAATATTATATTTGCATTTTAGATTATATTCGGCATTAATTTCGAATTCATTCCTTTAATGCTTACTTCATTGTCAACAGCTTTTGGACTTTGTTGGATTTACTTTGAATTGCTGTGGATTATTTCTTTTGAGAATCCAAAATATACTGGAGCTGCATGTATCTGCGAAAAAAAGTTTAAGAGGAAATAATTTTATTATTGGCGTTAACTCTTACTCTGTTACTTTTTCCACGGTATGTTAAGTACTAAATACATTATATGAGTCTATTAACACTACATTCACTCTACTTATTCATCTATTCAGCTAGAATATTTCAAGTTGTATTTTTGGGTTAACCGATTTTCGGGTTTTTACAAATCGTTTGTTTTTTAAATATTTACCGTCCTTTTTCTTTTCATGATTTGCCACAAAGAATGTACAGATCTATGAAATGACTGCAGGCTATCACCAGGCCAACAACAGATGCAGCCACTTATGACATAGTCATGATTACGAAGTACAGACAAGGTTTTGATTTACAATGGTGATTAATTGAATAACAAAGATAAGTTAATGAGAAACTATGATAATAACAAAGATAAATTATGAATGACAAAGATAAATTTTAATTGTTGTGATTATTATTGCTGTTTATTTGTTTTTCGATTATTTGCAATAAAAGTTTTCGGGTCAGCTCAATCAATCTTTTTTGGTGATAATAGAGTTTTTTTTCTCTTTTTTTTCTGCCTTTATACAACACAAATATTTCGAACAGCTACAAATGTAGATAGTTTGATCTGCAAACAATATATTTGTGTATTGATCGCAGAAAAATAAAGTACCACTGCAGAACTCTGTCATTAATGCTGAAGGCTGCATTTATGATGGGAATAAATTACCTTTTCCCCATGGACAGTGCATTTCACGAGGTACTGTAGAAGATTTACAATAACTGTATTTGTACAGCAAAGTACTGATAGGAACTTAAAACTGCTATATTTAAATAACAAGATGACAACAACATGAAATTACAAGATGACAACATGAACATGAGTGTTAAAAAGATGGAGAGATTATTATTAAGAAATGCAAGAGATGAAGTAAATATAATATAATGCCGAATATTACTCTAAATAATATTTAATCAACAAGGATTAGTGCTTCTACTCATGTTTTACTATACACGTTTAGTTCTAACTTCCTCTACCATTATTAACTTTGATGATTAAAGTTAGACATGGAATAGAAAAAGAAAAGGCTGACTGAGTAAGATTGAAATAAGGAAAGGTTTAACATAAAGAGTTTTTACTATTAGATGTTCAATATGGAGAAATCTGAGATATGCATCTTTTTTGGATTTATTTAATTTGCATCTTTGATTTATTCACTCTATGTACTTTTTTTACTTCAATTCTTTGGAAATATTATTCCATCTTTAATGATATATTACCCTTGTTGTTACTGGAACGCCACCTATGCCAGACAGAACTATTTCAAACTTCTACTTTTCCGTAGTTTCAGTCATAATCTTTTAACCACTGCTATATGTTTCATGCCTTCTCGTATTTTGAAATACGATCTAGAAAAATTGATTTAATTAACCACAACATTTTTACACACAACATTGAAACAACATCCGGGATGGAGTTGTTGTCAACAACTTGTCAACTGATTAATTTAATTTAATTGAACTCATGCAAAACCACGTTCAAGCATTCATTAAAACGAATTTCAAACTTGAAATTTGTTCCAATCTACTCGAATTTCAAACTTGTCATCCCTTGTCTTTTTCTTTTTTCATTTTAATTAAAGTGACCGGCTTGATTGAAATCATTCCGGGTTGCAACCTTTTTTTTATTTGCAAACGACCAACAACACAGAGTGCTTTGCATTTGTTTTTGTATTCTTTCTCGAGAATGAAATAAAGAAATAAAGGTTGATAGTGGAGAAACTTGACTTTCGTATGGCAAAAGTGGGAAGTTGTAATTATTTGCTTTGACATATCTCCACTTGATTATGTTGACTTTCGAAGTTCGATTCATTTTTTTTTTTAACCCAATAGATATTCTGCCCCCAATAACACTTCTCCTTGTTGCTTCTCTCTCTTTTTCTCCATTCTTTTAAATTTCATTTTAAACATTTTCAGTATCATATTGTTATCAACTGAAATACCAGTGCTATTAGCAATGATTATGCAATACATTAAACAACTTCTTGAATGCAATGTTTTGCATGTAACGATAATAGTTGTAGTGAACAAATCTATTTATTTACCCAACAAATAAGGCGGTCACAACAAATATTTCACCTGAAAAATAAGATAATCACAACAAACCTATTTATTTACCCAGCATTCATTCGAATATTTTGCAGATGTAAAATTCGTCACAAATATTGGGGACAGTGATGAAGACCATCACGATAATGGCAATTTTAGTTGCTGCTGATGTTGACAACGACGTTAGTAATCATGGGATGTGATCAGAGGAGAGAGGTGCTCAGAATAGGGGGACATTCACATTCACATTTGCCTGCTTCTCTGATGGCATACCACCATCACATCACCATCACCATCACCATCACCACTACATCACATCGATATCGACTCGTTGACGATGACAACAAGAACGATGAAGGTGCAAGACGCTGCCACGATAACTACGACGATGACGAATAACGACGATAATAATGATGGAGGACGGGGACAGGATACAAATGCGTACAATAACAGTAGCGCAGCAGCAGTAGTAATATAGTAATAGTAATAGTAATAGTAATAGTAATAGTAATAGTAATAGTAATAGTAATAGTAATAGTAATAGTAATAGTAATAGTAATAGTAATATAGTAATAGTAATAGTAGTAGTACTAGTAGTAAGTAGTAGTAGCATGAAGAACAATAACAATAACCTTAGCATGGATCGTGTAAGGGGGAAGAGGTAAAAATTGTTAAGATAATAACTTATAGTTTAGTTTTACTGTAATTTTTTTCTTTTTAAAAAGAATTTGTTATCACTAATCATAAGAATACTCAAAATGATTATAAAGCGTGACTGTTTTCCATACTTGTTTATGATGTTCCCTTTTTATCAAAATTTTACTCCCTTTTTCCTTCAATTTTTTAAATGAGAATTTCAGAATATCCCCAGAATACAACTGGAAGAATAGGAACGGTACAAGGGCAAACATATAATCATTAGAATGATCGTCATTGTTGTTGTTGTTATTAACTTGACTAACCATAATAATTATCTTCAAATGAGGGATAATTACTGCTGCTATTGCTGTTGTTGTTGACGGTGATGGGTGGTGCTTTTGTTGATAATGATGGACGATGATGATGATGATGACAATGTTGATGATGACGATGTTGATGTTGATGTTGATGATGATGATGATGATGATGATGATGATGATGATGATGATGATGATGATGATGATGATGATGATGATGATGATGATGATGATGATGATGATGATGATTAGTACGATTAGTTGAGGGAAGAGTTACAAAGAAGGGTACGTGGAGGGTATTGATGTTGCTAGCAGTAATAGTCGCCGTTAATGATTGTGCTTTGGCTGATGATATCACTGTGCGGCAGAAATGCCTGATGATGTTGATGTCGATGAGCGCCGCTTCTCCGTTTTCATCCTTGCCTACACCATCATCATCATTCCTTTCCACTACTTTTCATCGTTATCAAAACTATTCTTCCCCCTTGCCCCTATACGCCTCCTTCCCTATCTTGCTGTTGTCATTGCTGATAACGATGCCTTTGAAGCCTTACATTACATCGTACCAGCAACACTTCCCATCTTTCCATTCCTTTATCATCAAATTTTAAACTATCACTTCAAATGGTTTCATTGATAACTGTAACAAAAGCAGTTTGTAATTAGCTCATTTAACAATACCAAAATTAACCTAACTGTTGTTACATTTGACGTTAAAGCTTAAGTATTTTAAAAATGAATGTTGAACATTTTAGTGGTTGCATAAACTTCAATAACTTCATAGATTTCAATAATTTTTCAATAAATTTTAAGCAAATGACGGCGTGCAATACATTGAAATATATTGATTGGACATATTTTCAGGTAACTAGCCATGCATGCCGGATTCGATGGTACAGCAGCGCCATCAATGGTGAGCATAGTAAGTTAATTTCGAATATTTATCAAAACATTGTTACTTGTTAGGATTTGTATCCTATCAACTTATGTATGCATGTCACATGAAAATTAATATCTTGCATAGCACGTTTGAATTCAGTTTAAAATTCTCTTCATTCTGCAAGATTAAAGTTTTTGTAGGTACCAACGAATATTGCTGTTTCACAACGTGAAAAAAGGCGATTTTATGTGAAGAAATCAATAATTGGAATGCAAGAATTTCGGGATTGGGAAGAGAAATTGGGCGATTATTGGTATCGCCATCATCACGTGAATTCTTTTTTTTTTTTGATTTTTGCTTATTTAACAAGGCGAGTAGTCGTGAAATTTGGAGGAACCTTTGTTATTTTAAAAATATCGTTGCTGACTACTGGAAAAATTTAACCATGCTTTCCGTATTTTTTATTAGGTGTACTTTGCACTTTTTTGTTGGTAATATTTTTGATTAACTACTACCACTTTCGTTAACGTCACAGTAACATCGAGAGCAATACACAGAAGACCAGACGATCTTGACGACCAGCGACTGACTTGTTTTAGAAAGTGAATAACATCGTGTATTATCACTGCAAATATGAACCTTGTTATGCGTCAATGAAGGCCAAAGTAATGCTCGATTGTGTACAGGTATTCAAGTTGTTCAATAAATTTTAACCTTTCGCTTTCTCAGCAAGTACTCTCGTCCAAGTTAAAATATAATTTAAAATTTCTGCAACTTTGCAGTTGTATGTTACCGAAGAAGGACATTCGCATCCTGCTCCTGCTGATATGATGGTGTGTTATTTCTAACATATTTCTGCATTTTCATACCACTGTTATTGAATGTTAAGCTGAAATTTAAGAAATGGAGCATAAAAAATTTTGCTAAAACACATCAACATATTGAATGAATTATGAAAAAATGTTAAGAAATGACAATTTCTATTGTGTCGTTATAGTTCAGCATCAGTTGAATCATAACTTTTTTCAGGCACCGCCGTCAAAACATATAATGGATCCTCTAACGCGACAAACTGTATCAGTTCAGAAACGAAAAGTATGTGAAAATTTTGTTGTTTTGAAAAATCCTGAGATCTTCTGTAGATTTGTTGTTTATTGCACTATAGATTTACTGTGCTTAATTCTTTATAAATTTTAGTGAAATTTTCGTTGCAGCATATGGATGAGCAGTATTATACCGGATTTTCAGCTGCGCCATATCCTCAACAATTTTTGAATGATATACTTCGTATGCAAGGCGATTTTAATGGTGTTCATGATGTTAGTCCGTTTGTTTTGGCGGAGCTTTCTGTTCCACTTACAAACTCATGACTACTAAATTATTTAAAAATATTTTTAAATATTAATATTGGTTCTTTTAATCACCAAGTCATCCATTCATCAGTTGAACAAATTCTGTCTGCCTCTCATCATAGCCATTTTTAAATAATCCCACTTTCTCAAATACATTAAATTGTACAGGCATCCTTGCCAAGGAATAAGCTCTTGTCCAAGCCAATTATTTTAAAAACCGTTTTTATAGCATGGATGGAGGAATTTCAATTTAATGGTTTTAGTTCGGAAATTTTGATGAGTTAATGATCATAGGTATTTTGCAGGCCAGTGCAACTGCTTGTTACAGCAATCCTCATGTGGCATTTCAGAATGGCGAAGCATCAAAAGAAGTAATTTTTTTCTAGACTTTGTACTTTTACTACCCTGTAGTTGCGGGCGTTCAAACAAAAAGTTATGCCAACTGCCAAGTAGAAATAGATTTCGAATGACATATCAGAGCCTTCACGGCTATGCGTAACGAATTTATCAGGGCATCGAAATAAAAATGGAGAATCAGGGTGCTACAACATCGGATATGCGCATGGAAGTGATTTCGGCAGTCGCAGAAGTGGCAAAATATGCTCAAAATCGGACAGCACAAATGGAAAATAGTTCACAGAAGAGTGCTGATGGAAATGGTACCGTGCAGCAAGTATCGAAACCAATTTCTGCTCATTCAACAACCTCACCTATTAGCTCACCCGAAGTACATCCTTCCGGTAATTCCAGCCAAGTGCAGCAACGGAATGGATTCTCGGATGAAAGTGACAGCGACGATGATGAGTCATCGGGTGAGTGAACAAAGTTCTATTTAGTTAGATCATATTGTGAAGTGAAGTTCAAGTAAGTTCATTTGTTGAGTTGGGAATTTGATAAATTAAAAAGCCGTAAAACCGCTGATCTAAAGAATAAACTTCTTTGCGAATCCTAAGGGATTTTCGACAATTCCATGTATCTAATTAAAAATGGGTTTTTTAGATACGGAAAGTGATGATGCAAAGTGTTCTTCTTCCCATGTTGGCCAAAAGTGCGGTAGTGGAGATGTCGAGGTATATTTTCTAAAATTTAATTTGATAAGATTTATCCATGGAAATATCCATGTCTCTCCTACTTAGAACGGAGCTGCGTAAAAATGCCTTTTTTCCTATGCAGGCTGACAACGATCTGTTTGCGATATTAAAGAAAAAAATTGAAAGACAAGTCCCACGAAAACGTTTACGTTACTTGCGGCGTATAAGACGGCAACTAAGTTTTTTTTACAAATGCATGAAGTGAAAGAAATGTCGTCACGATTACCACCAACAACAAAATACGAAGATATCTTTGGGAAACATCAGCAACAACAGCATCAACAACCACATCAGCATCAACAACAACAGCAACAGTCACAGCAGTGATTATTATCGTGTAAATAATTGTTCTTGTTTTGAGCTGTTCCTATTAATGCAAAGATTTCTGGTCTCATTAGTTTTGAAATTTTATGTTGTAAAGAAAATATTTGAGCCGACGTCATCTTTCTTATTATTCTTCCTTAATTTTAGATCTAAACTTTATTTGGGATCAAAAATAATGGGAAATTAGGGGTGAGTTTGGCTCATAGGGGATTGCTCTCTCTATTTGAGGTTTTTTGTTTCATTCAAATACTTTAAATTAAAATTAATTTTAAATTTTTGTGACAAAATAAACTTTGTTGCGGACAGTTGGTATCGGTTTTTTACTTTTTACAGTGGTAAACTGTCTAGCAATGTGTATACCTGTGAACAGTATTGCTGCATATCACATCATTGCTGTTCATTTAATTTTTTACCGACTTAACTTTTTGAACTCTTGCTTTGCTGGATACGTAATTCGTCGTTGTGGATGCAAACAAAGTGGTCTCAATATTGGAGGAGAAACAATTTGTTATTACATGTGATGGATTCAGGGGAAGGGAAATCGACTAATGTTTAGTCTATTCATTGATGTTTCACAAAAAAGTCTTGATAATAACGAGTATTACTGCATATCACAACATTGCTGTTCATTTAGTTTTTTGCCGATTTAATTCTTTAGACGATTTAACCTTTTTTTTATGATGTGACCTTTTTTAACCCCGATTTAATCTTTTTTTACGATTTAACCCTTTTTTATGTAACAACTTAACCTTTTTTTTATCGATTTAACTTAATTTTTAGTTGGAATTATTGTGCTGGACTTTCGTTATTTACGTTTTGATAATTTTATCACGCGCCTACCTTCATATATGGTCATGTTGAATGAGACCAGTCTTTAAATGATATTAAAGAGAAAGCCGAGAACGTATGAAAGTACGGACTGGTATAATTTAAGTATTCTAACCTTTACAACCTCTATCCTTCAGTTTGCACAATACCATAGTGATGAATGTTGGAGAGCGATTAATCAATTGATTGTGTTCTTCACACTGATTTGTCCTTTTGTTTGCTTGATCTCAACACAAACTAAAATATCAGATTAAAGTTATTTGAATTAACTTTTTTAAAGATTGGGTAGAGGGTTACGTAAATGTAACTTATGGAACAGTACATGTTTATAACTAAATATCAGATTAAAGTTATTTGGAGTTTAAAGTTTTTGGCGACATTGGAAGCGACCATATGATTAAGGAATACAAACATACTTTAAAATTATAGTGATGTTCACTTTTCGTATTGACTTGTTTTGTTATGGTCACAGTGATCGACCTTTTTACTTCTTCACTATCACTGACATCACAGCCTATTTTATTGATATGTGTCGATTGGATGTCTCGAAACAAAAGCACCAAAAACTTTAACGAAATAAAAGATAGCTAGTTATCAGTGTTGAAAGTGAAACTGATATATGTGTGTCTATGAGAAAGCTCAAAGAAAGGAAGGAAAGGAGCGAAGATTTTCGACAAATGAGAGCTAACTGAAATATATATCCCTTTCATCTATCCTTCCTCACTACATCTTTACGGTTTCATCTTGTTGCCAGTTATCGCTGTTACTAATTACGACATTTCTCCGACCAGTTCCATCTGCTCCACTCCGTTCACAAATTTAAGATTATTTCACTTCTTGGCTTGTTTTATTTGAGCCATCAAAGATCAACATTACTTTTTACACCAATTACTAATTTTTCAAATGAAAAGAAAAGAATATCTGGTAGTATCGACAGCGGTAAACTTCGCATTTTCCTTCATTTTTGATTTAACATAGTAACAAAATTAATAATAATAGTAATAATAATAATAATAATAATAATAATAATAATAATAATAATAATGATAAATAATAAAAGTGAACAAACAAATAAATAAATAAATGAGTAAATAAATAATAATAACAAACACTGTAATAATGTTGAGTAAAGTAAAGCTAATACAAAAAGGCCAGATCAGTTGTTATTAGTTGGATGGAATGCGAAAATAAATTGATAATGTCAAGTATCTGTTCATACAACTATTTCACTTCGGTTTTTTTTCTTCTTTTTTAAATTATACCATTCATTAACTGATATCACTCTTTACCATATTTTTCTTTCCTTTTTATTGCATAGTTTAATAATAAAGGAGGAAGTTTTGGTTCAATTTATGTGATCATTCCTTCCTTTAATGTATTTCATTCGAATTTGATAACAGTAATAACAGATTC